TGGCCGCTCTCAGGCTTCTCTCTGTGGAAACGCACACGGTAAATTGGAATCATACGTACAGACCTACAGACTACAGCGTATTAGGGCCAATTTCACCAACATCGGTTAAGCTAACCGACGATTAAAGTGTCAACCGTGATTGGTTCATTCTGGTCAAAGACAAATGCGATTGGATAATTCCATTGGAATTAACCGTCGGTTAGCTTAACCGACGTTGGTGATTACAGACTACAGCGTATTAACAGGTCTCTACAGCGTATGAGTGTGATGGCATATATGTATAGTATTACATATATGGTTGATGGTGTTGAGGACGTTGAGAACACCTAGAAAACAGGTCTCTACAGCGTATGAGTGTGATGGCATATATGTATAGTATTACATATATGGTTGATGGTGTTGAGGATGTTGAGAACGCATACCCGGTACTTTTGAGAAAGTGGCAACATTTAATCGTTTTATGTATGAAGAAGTACATCTTGACCAATCTTGACAATACTTCCTTGTAAGTGGAAGCGCTGTCACAAACTTTCTGGATCATTTTGTTCTCTGATGATATAGGGTTAAGTAGGTAAGTGTCCATAACCAAGAACACGAACTTCGATCCTAACCACGTGAACTACGATACTCGAGGTATACAAATGATTGTGATTTTCTTACTACTTTTAGATCGAAGAACGTGCACTTCTAGAAATACATTTCCTTTTTAGGAAGTACATATTATACACACATATATATATATATATATTAAAATAAAGAGTGCACATATACACAAAGAAAAGATGTCAGGAACATTTCTAGTACTTCGTGGACAAAGATCAACATATAGCTGGTATATAACAATGATGCATATTATTTTACTAAAGCATCTCATCTTTTAATTTCAGTTGTATCACTAATTTGTCATGGTTAATTGCTGTAAGATAGACTCAATTTCATTTGTGTAGTAGCATTGACAAAGCTGTTGGATGCTTAAAGTTTTTCAAAGTGAAATTTATAGTATTCAAGTCTTAATGAATTGTTTATATAGGTGATCTCTCTGATAATAAATTCATAATTTTGTTATACAGGCTTCGCCAGTATCGTGCAGCATATTTATATAAAAATGTGATTAGAGACTTGCATATACATACTGTGGCGCAATACTGTGTTTCTGTGAAAGATAAAGACAAACATTTATCTCAGGTATGAAAGGTATAATTGTAAATGATAATTTTTCTGAATAATCTGTTTTATTATTTTATAAATAGATAAAGAATTTTGAATACGAAAATGTGGAAACTAAATCTTTACATACAAATATTACAACGGAAAAGTTAATAGAGGTAAGTAATATTATACATAATGCATCAGGAATAAAATTGCAATTATTAAAGATAAAAATTTTAACAGCAAAACTTCGATGAATTTGGAAGAAAGTATGATAAATCTCAGAGAATTAATAAAGAAATTTTGCTCCAAAAACGTACGTATAAATTATTTATTTACATCTTCAAAACAATTAAATCTAGTAAATCCAGTAGTTTTCAAATCTTCTAAATAAATATTAAGTTAGAAATAATTTGCAATTGAAATACAGTGCAAAATTTATCTTTTATGTGTATTAAATTTTATATTTGTCTTTCTTAATAAGTATATTGTGATCATATCAAATACAAAATGTTTCTACATATTTGTATTAATTTATTAAATTTAATATATCATTTAATATACTCTGTATAATTTATACTTTATTTTTGTCAATTTATTACCATAATAAAATTTCTGAATATTATAGGAATGGAACGTTTATATGCAGATCCAAAATCTTCTTTAATATCTATTTATTCAATAGTGGGTCATGACTTAAAAGACCAACAAATTTTAACCTCAAAGATTAAGAGCATTACTATAAATAGATCTAAACAATGGGAAGTTACTATCAATGTCAAATGGCCAGAAGTTATGTCTTTTAAAGAAACTGGTAAAACTAAAACACTCACTTTCAAAAATGTAGCTTGGAAGTGTTTACAGTGGCTAGAAATAAATGGCAAATTAAAAAACGGCAAACCACGTATCTATAATGAAGAAGAAGTGAGGAATATGCAATTTAAGCCTGTTGAATTAAATGTTGCTCCTGAAATTTTAAACAATATGACACAATTAATCAAGACTTACAATACGGTAAAAAATTCTCCATCACAATTTCTTTACCCTGCTGGTCTGTTTAAATTTATTTTATTATTTAAATCAATATAATTAAAAACTCTAAAAAATCATAAATTTTTCAGAAAAAGTTTATATTAACAGATAAAATCATCATCTATTAGAAAACAGTTTTTAATTAAAATATTAGTAAAGAAATTAATTACATTCTAGGTGATATATAGACCTGAAGCAAACCAGCAGGGCTAATGTAAATGTATTTTATTAGTATAGTATTTGATTATTTTAATTTGTATAATACTCAGGAAATACAGAGTATGACATTGAAAAATACTGTAAATTCTGATAATTTATTGCATCAGTCTACATTGACTCATCATCCAATACTTGAAGACAATGGTTACTCAAATATTCTCCTTCGAAATAAAACTTTGAGGGATAGATTATTGGAAAGATGTAACAATGACACTGTTACTTTACCAATTCACGAGTTTAAGTATGAAAGATATAAGATAATATTGTTCATATTTATACAATATGTGTACATATAATATGCTTTGTAATTTTCAACATATACGTAATCTGTTTTACAGAGATGAAATTCTTTCTCTGTTGGAAAACCATCGAGTCCTATTAATAGAGGGTGATACAGGTTGTGGCAAAACTACACAAGTACCTCAATTTATATTAGATGCTTTCGCAAAAAATGGTAATGCTACAGATTGCAACATATTGATATCTCAACCTCGTAGAATCTCGGCGATCTCTTTGGCAGATCGCATCGCGTACGAAAGAAAAGAACACGTGGGAGACGTTGTCGGTTTTCACGTGAGACTAGAACAAGCATTGCCGAAGGAACTTGGTGCGATAGTTTTTTGTACTACTGGTATGCTACTGAGAAAATTGCAGATCAATCCTGATTTAAAAGGGTGCTCGCATATCATTTTGGACGAGGCGCATGAACGCCAGATTGATACCGACATGCTAATGATTCTACTTAAGAGAGCCATACAGAAAAATCCTACTTTAAAAGTACTGATAATGTCGGCGACTATAAATACGCACATATTTCAACAGTATTTCGATTGTCCCACTATACGAGTACCTGGTAGACTGTTTGCCGTAAAAATGCATTTTTTGGAAGATATCGATCATTTACCAAATATCGAGAGATACAGAACATATGTAGCCAAAGGTCGTTATGATGATGAAGTCGAAAAACTTTCAATTAATTTTGGAAAAATAGTACAGGTCATAAAATGGATTTCGTCGCATAAGCCGCCCGGTGCTATTTTATGCTTCTTACCAGGTTGGAATGAAATCATGAGGGTGCAAAGTATGCTTGAGGATACATCGTGCTATAACGAAAAACATTTGATTTTGCCGATGCATTCCAAAGTGTCACACAACGAGCAGCGGAAAATCTTTGAACATACACCGAAGGATGTACGGAAAATTATCTTGGCTACGGATATTGCTGAAACAGGCATTACAGTTAGTGATGTGGTTTACGTTGTAGATTCTGCCTTACGAAAAGAATCTCATTGGGACGATATCAAAGATATATTTAGTATAAAGAATTGTTGGATCTCTCGAGCAAACATTCAGCAAAGGTAATTATTAAGAACAAGTAAATATGTTATATAATTTTGTTATTCATATTTGAGAGAAATAAAAATATTAAAAAAAATTGCAATTAAGTATTATTTTGAAATTATTTTACGTTAAGATGATAATTAATTTGTTATGCAGGAAAGGGAGAGCTGGACGAGTCAAACCTGGTGAAAGTTATCACTTAATCTCAAAAAAAGAATATGAGAAATTACAGCCGTATCCAGTACCGCAATTATTATGCAATCCATTGGAAAAAGTAATTCTTGACAGTAAAACATACACGGACGAAAAGGCGCAAGCATTTCTGAGTGGATTTCTGGAACCACCTACTCCAACTGCAATACAAAAGGCGGTGAGATCTTTAATAAATCTTGGAGTTATGGATGCCGAAGAGAATCTTACGGCTCTAGGTAAACGAATGGCACTATTTCCAACGCATCCTAAATTCAGTAAAGCCATGGTATATTCTTCTGTCTTCGAGTAAGTATAAATATTAAATAGAATATACATCTGAATCTCATCTTCTGATTATTTTTCTGTATTATAAATATTTCCGTTTTAACAATAGCTGCTTACATCCTGTGATAACGATAGCCAGTATTTTTTCTGGTGAAGATAATCTTTTTCACAATATACTGAATGAGAAATCTCAAATTAGAGAAAATAAAAGAATGTACCATCCATCTAGCGATCATGTTGCAATGGCATGGATATTTAAGCAATGGTCTCACTTTAATGAAACAAGTCCGCATTTAATAAGAAAATTTTGTAGAGACATGATGATCAGGCCACTCAGAATACAAATACTGAGTCGTAAGTAACATAGCTATTAGAGATTATATTTAAAAATTATTTTTGTTCAGTTACTGCTGTGTGTATTTATTTAATCGAATTATCCATACTATCGATAAATCTCGTTTTTAAATCGTACGAAATCATAATTTTGCAGAAATACGAAATACGTTTATCCAACAGTTGATTCAATGTAAAATGTTAAGCAAAGCTTTATTGCATGATTATGATTGCAATAAATCTGATATAGCAAACAAATATGAATGTAATGACGAGTTAGTGCGAGCTGTATTATATTCTGCTACGCAGCAATTGATAGAACATAAAGATGTGGGATTTAAGAATGGAATCCTAAGGAAAGGCGTTAACGAACTTCGAACACAGTAAGCGAATTTTGTATATCCACAGACTCAAGTTTAAAGATGATTTATAACATTATTATTTATAATATAATATTAATTTTATTTTTAAACAGAGGTCGTGCCAAGGCTGTAATTTCGGGAGAAAGTGTTAATTATAAGCGGAAAAATTGGCCGAGTTCTTTCTTCACGTATTTTAATGCTGCGCACTGCAATGTAAGACGTAGTATAGTAATTCGTGAAACAAGTATGATATCACCTTTAACAGTGTTACTTTTCAACCAAAAAGAAGTTCAATGTTATGAGGTAATTAAATAATTAAATCTTACGATTCAACAAAGTAGTATAAGAAAGTAAATAACATAACACACAATTTATAATATATTTTTCTATTTGTAGCTGGACGATAACAGGATAAAACTTACAATTAATGTTAATGCGCAACAAACTGTAAGATTTGTTTGTAATAAAGAGTGAGTATTTTTATATTTTGTCTTATATAATATGTAGCATATAATAATCTGTTTAAATCTTTGTTTTTTTATCTAGAACTGCTAATGTGCTCTTACAATTTAGAAATGTTATGTGGTCTCTAGTGCAGTACTTATTGGAGACACAAGGATTTGTCAATCATAGAAATGATCTTAATTTAAAAGAAATATTAGAGTACAAAGAGAAAGTATTTGAAACTCTTGTGGAAACCCTGAAAATGTCGTCTAAATCTATAGAAAATACAGAAAAAGTTGAAACTCTTTAGTTTAAATATGTACAATATGATAACTGTACATACATAATAGCCTTAAAACTGTAACATTATCTCAATCAACATAGAGTTAATTGTAATTTATTCTTATTGTTATTACCTATTATATGTATATTTGTGTACAAATTTGTCAAAAATAACGTATGCTGATTGACAGCTTTATACAAATATATTTGATAGAATTACTTATATAAGTAATAAATTGTCTAATTAAAAAAACAACGCTAGAGCTTCTTTCAATGAGTATCTTTTTTTCTCATTCACTTCCACTTCTATATTATGTGTTCGTTTTTCCCAATCAATCTGTAAGAAAAATTGAAATGCCAACAATGTTAAATTAACAAAATTAATGAAGCATCGTAAGACTTATAATTAGAGATGAAAAGAGCGACATTATTTAAAATTACAATTGTAAATCAAAAGACTACGTGTTTACAATATTACAGATATACTTACATGACTGATGAATTTTTATGAGAGGAAAGATGTGGAACACATATTTGCAGGAGTAATGCAAGTAATAAATACTACATTTTCCCGTTAACAGTATTTTTTTTTATAAAATAGTAAGAATTTATTACATATGTATATGTACAATCACAATATGATGCTTTTCGTAACTAGGACAACAATGTCGCTTCGATTAAATGCTATGAGACGCTCAATAATCGTTTTGTCATGCAGTACAAAAAAAGTCGGAATTATTATTAAATATTTCGTTCATAGACATGTTGCTCTTAAATTTCTTCAAAAATATATAATTTTATTTTGTGTGAAGCGCTCTTGATGTACCCGAAACCTACCGACACCACCTCGCGCCAAAATGGCCGAGAAATTATAAAAATTTGTTCCCTTAATCTTTTATGCCACGTTACGATCGCTTTCCGAGCGTTTAAACAAGATATAGAATTTGAATGATGACCTGTGTATAAAATATTAATATTTAATAAATTTAGAAACAACATTATTAATAATTTAGGTCAATATAATTATATATGTATAATTTCGCTAAATTTGAAAAGTCAACACAAATAGTATACAAGTATAATTATCGTTTTTAAATAATAATATCGTGATTCTCTTCTCTTGTTCATGTGCTCACGAACAATTTTTCACGATCGTAACGGCATGTATATTTGTGCATTATATTACTTTAATTAACATTCCATAAAATATATATATATATTAAAACAATATCGCAAAATAATGTTAAAAGTACATTAAATTAACAGAATATATATTAAAATCTATCTCAAATATTTACATTTGGCAGGTACATGGAAGCGTGCGCTTCTAATGTTATAACTTTAAAAAGTAGATAGAAATATATTAATTTGAAGTAATTAAATATTAAATATAAAACTTTTACAAACAAAATAATAACATGGAAAAATATATTACTTTATTTTTATGCAAAATCACTTGGAGTACTAGCGATAAATAAATCTTTAAATAAGAGGATTAATATAAAACAAGGCTGGGTCCACAACTTCGCTTTAAGAGGTCCTAAACCGTAAAGCCGTAAGAAATTGACCAATCACAGTCGATTATTTTTCTCGTATTCAACTATGATTAGTCAATTTCTTACGGCTTTACGGCTTAGGGCCTCTTAAAGCGAGGTTGTGGATCCAGCCTAAGAGTATAAAGATAAATTCTCATAAATTATATTGCATAATTCTTATATTAATATTATACGTTTTGTTCCAACTTGTACATATATTAATTAGTTATTCATTAATAAAAAACGGTGAAAATATTTCAGTAATGCTTGCAAATACTTCTTAATAATCATCTATAATAATTTTAATATCTCAATTGAAAATATGAGGAAATAAGAGGAGAAACAATAATAATATAGCTTGTAATAATATCAGGAAATTATATAAGATACTAATACCTTTTTGGCAAGATATCTCATTACTCTCGATTTATTTACATAAATTATTCTCTAACACAACTTCTTCAAACGAATAAATCTTTTTAAAAGTGATGGTTTAAAAACATTGTCTGAAAAAATGTTGATTAAAATCATTCATAATAAAAAATTGCTTAATAATTAATCAATTATTTTATCTTCACACTGTCCTCTTGTAGAAAGAATCTCTGCGTATTTTGAGAGTATTCACTGTCATAATGACTATTGTAACATATTAAAAATATATCATGCCTATTTAATTAATTTATGATTTGTGCAGTTTCTCTCTTTATTACGAACTAATATTGCACTTCCGGCCGATAATGCATCCAGCATATCGTTTCGATTACAGCAGCTATAATAATTTTCGATCGCACTAATTGCAATCAAGGAAAATATACAAATAAGCGTTTTCATCGTTACCTATGATAAAAACATTATCACTTTCTCCACTGAGTTATTGTTATGTCTAGAAAAAATTAATAAAAAGTAATAAATATAAATAAATACATAACTTACATATATGCATTTGTAAAAAATTATTTTACAGATATGAGCAATTGCTATAAAAATTATATTCCTTTCATATATTTTTTTAAACTAACATGTTTCTAAATTAATTTTAAATCGATATTAAGAACTAGTCACACCTATATTAATAATAATAATAATCTAAAAGTGTTTCTCATAAAAATATTTTAGACTTTTGCACATATTTTAGCTTATAAAGATATATTAATATAAAAAAAATATTTAGCGCACACGGAAGTCTATTAATTGTTCTTTTCTCTTTTCAGATGAGCGAAGATAATATATCATTTACCCGCTTGATGAACTTTTAAGCGCGCATGGCGCTTTGTGTATTTAATTGTTAATATTTATAAAACTATCACGTAGCTATCTATCTTAGTAATAAATTTATTTTCTTTCTAGACTGGCCTTGAAGCTTTTTTGAAAACGAATAAAATTTATCTAACGTTTCGATTAAAACTTCAAATTTAATCTTTCGCGAATTTTTATCTTTCAAAATTCATCCACAAAAATTAACAGTACAAATAAAGTCTGTTGTCTTATTATAGGACTCAATACTCGATATTTTATCTAGTACGATGGCAAATCGTTTTTTGATTTCCACTTATGCTCTAAAAATAGTGTGTTACATTGCATCTTAACATTACCACGACGAAAATTTAGTATAGAAAATATATTAGAAATAATTTCAATAAAAAGTTATTCCGATTTGACATTACTAAAAAAATAAAAGATTTACATATCACGATATGTGCTCTTAACTCTAATTAATCGCCTTTTCGGTATGGCATACCTAGATTTCTTACTCCTTCTTATGTTTTTCCAAAGCTTTTTTCATTGTTTATAATTTTTTTATTAATAAAGATACGTTAATTTTTTTATTCGGTGCTATTATGTTTTTAGTGTTTCATTATTTAGAGAGTCCGGTTCAATTGAGGATTTTCGAATTGCAATGTGCGCACTATTGAACTTATGTATTCTCACAGAGAACGATATAATGACGCTGAAATAATATCATATTTTGAGGCAAGGAATGAAATAATTAATTATAACGAATTTTTTATACTTAACGAAAAACTGTAAGATTTTTAAAATAGATCACTGCTCTCTAAAAATTAATATATATCTGTTTTTCTTACAACAGACATTTATACCAGAATATAAAGTAAGAAAATTCTTAATAACTAAAATAGGAATAAAACTGGAATATGTTCAATACATTTTTTAAATTAAACAATAAAATTGTTCATAATAAAAAATTATCATTAATTACTTTATCTTTATGCCATCATTTGGCCTCTTATAAAAACTATCTCTTTTCAAATCTTGGAAGTATTTCATAAAAGATGTTACTAAAAATTTTATATATAAAGTTACCTTTTTTATATAAACAACTTTGCTTGATTAAAATATCTGCACCAAGATACTGTCCTATAGATCCTACCAGAGGATTTTTTAAGAGATCATTTACTCTTCGATTGAATATTTTAACTGTTACGATACTAATTTGTTGCACTGACCGTTACAAGGAGGCAATACAGTAACGAGACTCTCGGTTTCGCTGTCGCTCGTACTGAAATTCGCTCTCTCCAAAACCACTGTGATCTCACTGTTCGTGTCGAACATCGGCTGATAATATGACGAATTCTTCGCTCCAAGATCCACGCCGGAATCAGCGCTTTTAGAGATTTGTGACAGTCTGCGAAAATTGCCGAAAAACACGCTGTCGGTGCCGACGCTCTCGGCACCGCTCTCGCTAGCGCCGTCACACACAGATTCGGTCTCGTCGGTCTCCTCGGACACGCTACTTACCTCGTGCTTCAGCAATCGCTTGTGCGAACCGTTGCTGTCTGTGCTACTGAGGTAGCCGCTATCTTCAACCTTCACGTGACCACGTCGATTGTCCACCAACGGTAGCATGTTCGAGTTGGAATCACAGCTCTTCGAGAGACCTTTCAACTGCCTTGTTCTGGAGCCACTCTGCGCTCTGCTTTTGTTGAGGAGTTTGTCCTTATCCTCCCGGCGATGATCGGCGCTCCACGATCGCGTCCTTGAACTTCTTCCGGAACTTCTGTGATGAGAGGAACCTGTAATCGATCGTTTATCTCGCGCCACCTTCGTTTCTCGCACCGAGACTTCCTCCTTGTTGGAATTGATATGCCCGTAGAACCTAAACCTGTCCTCAGGAACTTCGATTTCAATCCGCGTCTCGCACGGGCAGTCCCTGCAACCGTTCGTCACAGTGCACTTGCCGCCTATTCTCTCATTAAAAAACGTCGTTCCCGTTAAGGGAACGTCGTCTTCGCGATGCTTCTTGTTGTAAATCTCGTACTTCGCGACGTCGAGTTGAGTCTGCGACGAGCAGAGGCAGGTTTGGTCCCCTACATGGTATCCGTCAGCTTTCGGGACAGGAGCGCCGTTACTGGCTGTAGGGTCACCCGCTCCGACAGGACTCCCGTCCCAGGCGTTTTTTGGCGGAGATAACGGCGGCAGTCTCGCGTCTTCGACGCGCCGCGGTGGCTTCGGTCGCTGATAGATCTCCTCTTCCGTGGGCGGCAACGGCACCACGTCCGGCTGGTTATGCGGCTGTCGTTGTCTCTTTGCTTGTCTGTTGTCCGGCGTCAAGTATTTCAACTTTTTCCACGAGTCTACGCCATCGGACTCGCCGTTCATTTGCACCTCCGGGTCATGACCATTCGTCAAATGTGGGTCCTTCATACCCGACTTTATCCTTGCCTCGTAAATCTCCCGTAAACTGTTGTGGCTAGTACGTTGCAGCGTAGAATTCTCGTCGCGAAAACTACCCTTGCTCTTGAGAAGGATCTGAGCCGGTCGCTCTAACGAATCCACATAAATCTCGTTGGTAATTTCCCCTCGGTTGTATTGTATGTCGTCGTTGATTCGCAGCTTCATCGGCTTTCGATCCAACGTGTCCGGCTCGTACTCGGATTCGTCAAGCTTCACGTAGTTTTCTGGAGAGTCCTGGACCTTGATGGTCAAATGACCCGGATTCTCCGGCTCGTATTGAATCTCCGGACCACTGTCGTCACTGCAGGCTGGACTGGCGTAGCCGTCATTCACGTAGACTTCACTCACCAGCGAGTACGTCTCCGACCGTTGACTGCTGATCAATTCTGGCAGACTGTTGTAGCAGTTTCTCTCGAGAATCTGATTACTGAGCTTCGACATCGTCATTTCGCCGGTACGCGTGTTGATCACAGCATTTTGCATCGTTAACTCCTCGTCCATTGGCAATGCCGTGGATAAGGCCGGACTCGATTGATTATCCGTCGATGACTGATCCGGCGATGTCGATGACTTCCGACTACACTTGGAACGTTCCAGACTGTCTACCTCGTAGTCGGTAATCGTCGTAGGACGATTAGATGATCTAGTGTGATGATGATCCAACGCCTTCACGTCTACCATCTCACGTATCACGGCGTCCATAATACGCTTTGCAGTGTTCTTCGCACCGGGTAGCTCGTTAATCATATCTGGAAGTTCTTTTTTCTTCATTGACGGTACACATGGCGCCTTCGACTTTCTCGATCTCTTCGGCGCGGGGTTGCTCTGCGATTGCTGCGATCGCGATTTCTCCGATTTATTCGTGTTGCTGGATGATCTCTCTGTTTTTGCCGACTCGTCCTCACTCTTGCTGTTCCTATCGTCTTTCACGCTCTCTTTCGTCTCGCTCTCTATGACCGCGCTCTCCTCCATTTGCTTGATGAAGGAATTCTCGATGGCCTTGCGGACTTTCGCGTTTATCGCGTCGTCACCGGCAGTGTACTGGAATGGTCTACCATTCGCCCGCTTACCACGGCCGCAACGGTCGTACTCGGATCCTTCGAACATGGACCTGGTCGATCGTCTGGATACGCTGTAGCGATCGTCGTTCTCCAGAATCTCACTTCTGGCGGTGATATTCTGGAAGGTCCTCAGCATCGGTGGATTATCTTTCCACGACGATACCGATTTGCCAACCAGATTCGCGCGATCGTCCGGATCACCAAAATCGCGTCTGGCCAACTCCTTTAGGTATTCCAGATTTCTGGCAAACGTTCGGGCGTTCTCCTGGAAGTTCCTACGCGTATCCTCGGCGTCCCTCCAGCGACGCTGTGGTGGTCGCACGTCCTCCAACCAGGCGCGCACCTTGCTCTCACCGTGGCTGGGCAAATCAGATATAGGAAGAGCGGGAAGCAGCCGAGGAGACTCGCTGCAACCGGGACATCCGGTGCACCGTTGGGACTTCCGCGATTTCGTGACCGAGCCGCCTTGAACGGAGCTTGGGGTCGTTCTCTGTTGATGCTTGCTTGATTTTGCCGATTCGCACCGTTCGGAATTGCTCTCCTCTTCCGGAATACCTGCGTGTCAGATTTATCCTGCTGGTAGTAATGATGACAAAGCGAAAATGGCAAATTAATTATTTCTAATTACAGCGAGTGAAAGTCAAGTTGCTTTTGCGCGTTGTAAAATACTCCACGTGCTTTCCATTGGATGCATAATATCAGCTCGTGTGCCTAGCGAGCATACGGAGAATTCAAGAAATCAGGTGCGTGCGAAACCACATAGGAATAAAATAAGAATAAAATTGGAAACATCTCCTTAAATGCAAGAACGCGAAGGAAAAAAAGACTGAATTGTAGTTTCACGATTTTCACTAATTTCTTTATTCCTCGCATGAACGAGGGTCAAGAAATATAATTTAATTAATTATTAGATCGATTTAATTATTTCATATATTATAATATATCTTTTGAATTTCAAACATTATATTTTCTACAAATTATTTGCATCACGATTTGCTCCTTTTGTCTCATTATATTTCAAATAATGCATGTTTGAAGAACACAGACACACTCACCATTGAGAGTAGGAACAAATCTTTTTGCAGCCATCTTGTGCTTGGCGATGGAGATGACTTCTCGGATTTTGAGCAGGAACTCGATGGCAGCCGGAGGTGGGGCCTAGAAAAACGCCGGGCTGTTTTCAAATTATCTTGTCGCTGGTCGAGTGCGTAAGAAGGTAGACGAATCGAACAGACGTTGAGGGTACGTCCATTAAAAGCATTCCAGACTTCGAAAACGCGCGGATGACTAGCGCGAATGGGAAATAAGCAACATTTTTCCCCACCTTCTTCGCCGCGTTGCCCCGTTAAGCAACTCACCAGCAATAGCTGTCGATCGAAGTACGCGGGATTGAAGTACAATTTCCTACGTTGAGCACCTGGAAGAACCGGTACATCTTGCTGATGCGGATTTTCAGCCGTCTCCACGACCCGTACATCCTCTTCCGGTAGCCTCTCACCCAGAATGGAACCCGTGGAAAAAGGCCCTTCCGATTGCTCCAGATACACGCAGTGAGGATGAACGATCGCCGATGTTATTTGCTGAAGAAATGACAACATCGTTGATCAGTAAGCCCAACGCGAAAGTGAGAGAATTTCATAATTCGCAAGGTTACAATCAATCCGGGGACATTTCGAATTATAAACCTTATCTTCTCGCTGAATCCTTCAAGATACTGATTTCAATCAATATTTATTAACGACGTTATCACTGAGATTGTTTGGCACGAGACTACGTCGTGTAAAGACTTGACTTCTTCTGACAGCGACGAGACTTACACTCGCGTTGTTTCAGTAAAGAAAAGAATTGCGCTACGTGGAGACTGGGAGCAGTTCGCAGAACGCGCTGAAATCGCGGTGCGTGGTATTCTAACAACCGGTATACGGCGTAAAAGTGGGATGTACCTCACCTACTTGGAATGGTACGGACTAACGGAGCGCAAAACCAATGCGCTAATTGGATGCATTATTAAACGCAAGCGGTGGTCCCGGGAGAGAGATGGATTTTCTACAAAGATCTCACGAATCGCGCGAGCAATTTCGTTGCTTGAATTTGAATAATTACGTAATATCCTTGGAATGATGTAAAACTCGTCTAATTACGATAGAACAAATATATCTACGATCTGCTCCTGGTAAATAAAAATTTATCATAGCTCCTAATCGTTCAGGAATAAATCTATATTTATGTACGATGTGCATGAAGTAACTTTCTTAGATAAAATTACTCAATTAAAGTTTAGAAGATAATTTGCTAGAAATTGAACAATTGATTGAGAAGTAAAAGCTGCGCTTACATTTTCGAAACCTTGCTCATTATCGCTCGCAGGAAGATCTTCGCCTAAATCGCTCTCGGTTAGTCCACTATTAGTGTCGCTCTCGAAATGTCTCGTGGCTGTCAACAATGGATTGCTCTTCACCAATCCGCCGCCGTCTCGACCGCCGTCAAGAGTGATGTCCGCCTCTTCGATGGACTTTGTCTTCACCCTTCTGCTGTGCAAATATAACGATACGCTGGCTACGTATATGAGAGCCAAGATTACAGAGGAAAGACCGATGGCGGTGTATTCCGTAGCTGATAATCCTTGTGACACCTGGGACGTCGACGAGAACATTACTTCTCGTATACCTGTTGTAAGAAAGAAATGTATGTTTAACGAATCGTACATCTTCGTGATGCTCAATACTCATTCTTTGGAACGTCCTCATTAGTAGATAATTATACTATTTCCACACACACACAACACACGCACACACACACACATATTCACATGTAAAATTAAATCAGTATCTTAATTAAATTTTAATTTGAAATAAATGTATTATAATAAATAATAAAATAAATATATATTGTAATAAATATATTTTTCAACGTATATTTTATATTTATATTTTTTATACTTTATATATATTCTAATCTTTAACCATTTTCCGTTACAAATAACATTATTATAAATAGAATAATAAATTATTATATAAAGATTTAAAGTATTATGATGATTTAAATTATTATAAATTATTACCTAAAAAAAGTAAAAAAATTTATAAAATATTTCGTACACATTCGTAATATTTCATATTATAAATTGAAAGTTATGAATTTTGTAAAGTTTTTCAAATAATATATAATTTTTTTATTATTATATATATCATATATACAGGGTGAGGCAATAACTTTGTCCACTTTGAATATCTCCGCTATTATTAGAGATATGAAAATATTATAATTACAAAAGTTATGCTGGTTATAATCTTTTTAGGTAAAGGCGTTTCTGAGATTTCAAGGTCATCTCCATTTTTTTAAGTAGTATGCTGTACTTTTTTAACCTTAGTGTAATAGTGGGTATTTAGACGATTTCAACGACCTATAGTAAAAGGTTATTCGTCATTAAATAAAGAAGTAAAACGATGATTCTTACGTCACAAGAAATGCTCGAAGTGATGTCCGTTTACATCAATGCAACACTGCAATCGTTGAATTTCTGAAGAACGTACATTTTTTAACATTGCCGGACTGATTGTCGCACATGTAATAATTCGTTGCCTCATATTTTCCGGTGTGGTCGGCACTTCCTCTGGTATACAAAATGTTTTTTAATATTCCCCATAAAAATAAGTCAAGCAATGTTACGTCGGATGAACGAGCTGGTCACAGAATCGACCCACTACACCGCGTCCTATCCACCGATTTGGGAAGATTTTATTGAGTGTAGCTCTTACTCTATGTCATAATATGCGGGGCATCCATCATGTTGATATTACATCAGTTGCTTAATTCAATTGTACATTTTTTATAGAATAAAATTCCGTTGTGTATAAAGTTATCATGTTTTATACTATTAAGTGTTCCGTTGATGAAATATGGTCCGAATTAATTTGTTGCTTATAATACCGCACCATATATTTACCGACCATTGTCGTTGATGATCAACTTCTCTTAACCAATGCGGATTCTCATTCGACCATAATGCATATTGTTCAAATTTACAAGACAATAATTAGTAAAGTTTGTTTCATCGATGAATAATATTAACGAAAAGAAATTCTTTATTTAATAACGAATAACCTTTTATTACAGAATAATAAACATAAAAATGGCATTGTAAGAGTCAGATAAATAAGAGAGGTATTCTAAACGACAAATTAATCGGATATATTATAAGTTAGTTTTTAAGTACTGTCATAATAGATAAAATTTAGAATATATGAGTTAATTTGTCGTTTAGAATACCTCTCTTATTTATCTGACTCTTACAATGCCATTTTTATGTTTATTATTTTGTATAAAAAAAAGAGTCCTTTAGTTTCTCTTAATTTTGCTTTTATTACAGGTTGTTGAAATCGTCTAAACACCCATTATTACAAGGTTAAAAAGGTACAGCACACTATTTAAAAAAATGGAGGTGACCTTGAAATCTTCAAAGCGCCTCTACTTAAAAAGATTATAACTAGCATACGTTATGGTCCTTTTAATATCATACAACTTATATAATTACAATATTTTCATATCTCTAAAAATAGCGGAGATATTCAAGGTGGACAAAGTTATTGCCCAGTATATAAAACACAATAATTTTTTTCTTATCATACTGTTTTTTGATGGCGAACCGGCCACCCTAAAGGCCACGCAAGGTGTGAAAACCCCAGAGAATGTCGACTTCGGTGACGCGTCTCTGCAGACAAGTTTGGCCGTCACGACTCGTCCTTCTGCTGCGTCTCTCAGCCCAGCTTCGCCAATCCACTGAAAGATTGATTGATTGATAAAATGGTTGACTGATTAATTGATCATATAATTGAACATAATGTCAGACTTTATTTGCTAGAAAATGCGAAGCGTTTGCATGTAGCGTATAGAAAGAGGAGGCAAATATAATGAATGAAAATGAGATTAAATTAGCATATCATCGTTTCAGTGTACAAAAAAAAATCCTCGTTTAACGCAACCACTGCACGAACTAATTATTGATATAATATAAAGATAACAAACAGTAAATGTGGCGATTGAATCGATTAGCATTTGCATATCGCTTCGATATGCAGAGGAATCATCTCTTCGTTTTTCTCGAACCGCTGCACAAACTAATTATGGTAATCGAAGGCATCATCGAAACCGTTTAACTGTGAAGTTTTAGCTCCGAAGGTTCGTTTTGTACATCTCCGAGCAAAGATGATGCGGCTGAACCTGCGGTTTCCGCTGCAAACGTGTGGTACGCAAATATTTCTTTCGATCGTTCTCGACAAGTCTGCTATTAGTATCGCAGACTCCGTCCGTTACTGCTTAATTACGCGGTTAATTGCAATCTTACACTCGCGTAATGACAGAGAGACAAGTTACTTTTCTCTTCCACCAACCTGGAGGAACGTCCTGCCCTCGTCTCGGAACAATCTGAAGGGCGGCTCGGCGTCGGAGAGATTCCTTAATTCGGACCATCCCGTCCTTCCCAATTGCTTGGCACCGGCAATCCCGCATACAGGAGTGGTCACACCTAGTTTCGCGAGGTAATTTATATACGTGTTAAGCGATCGTAAAAGAAATGAGGCGGGGAATAATGAACGGAATGAACGCGAACGGGAATTTTGTTGGAGAAGCGCCGAATGAATTTTTATGAAGGCTCCGCGGTATATAAACTTTCAAGTATTAGTTTTTTTTATTCTGAGAAAAAGCAATCGCGATCAATTGACTTTTCTTGTACTAATGTAGATATCGTATTGCCAATTTAACTTCATGCAAAAATGTCAGTCTACTCTTTTACGTAGTGAAAGGAGTGTTATCTTTAAAATAAAAATAGAGAATTATAGTTTATACTTGACTTCCGCACTGAACAGAATTCAAACTCAGAATCGAAATGTTTGCAGCTGACAAGCACATTCGTCGATAAGTATATTCAAGTTCTTTTCAAATTACATCTTATCGTTTTACATCTAATATATTATTTATAATAAATAACTGCGGAAATTCTTAGGAAATTGACTTATATTTGATTAGTGTTATCTTTATCGAGGTAATTTTTATTTAATGCTGGTAATTTACCTTCGAAGCGAATCTCCGCGTGAGGATATATTATCTGCCCTCGTTGTGGTAAGAAGACATACGGTACTCTCTCCACGTGGCCGTTGCTGTTGACAAAGCCAGCAACGTTGCATTCTGAAAACATTAAAATAAAACCGTATAAATTATTACGAATAACTTTCATCACACTAATCAACAAAATTAATTATTGCATGAATCTATAGATATGCAATGATATATTAATATTTATGTAAATCAATGTATTCAATAAAAAATGCAAGTGTACGTACTGATCAGTATATTAAACAAATTTATTTAGTATACCTTATCGCTGAATTAAATTAGGTACAATTTCTTATCAGTAAAACAATCAAATTGATAAAGTAATTTCTAATTAATGTGTTAATAAGATAGGTTCAATGCAGAGAGAGAGAGAAATAATTATAATTTTATATATATATATATATATATATACATATATACGATAAAAAAGAATCTACGGAAACTGTAAACTCTACAAATGGGTGTTTTTTCAGGAAAGCACAGAATTAAAGTGACGACGGTGACTAGTTTTTTTTCCGTGCAATCACAGGTCCATTTTACCCAATAATTTCGGTGGATGCGCAAGACAGCTTGTAATTTCGAACAAAATATCGCCCCCGGCAGACCCCACTGTTTTGCCCGCATTTGAATAAATTATGAGGATCCGGCTTACACCGAAATCTCGCAAGCCTCGAGGAAACGCGACGAGTCTGCACGAACACGAACTTCGCGAGGTGAGCTCTGCAAAATCGAATCACACATTTCCTTTTCTTTTTTCTTTAAAAAAAACTACAGTTCGGAAGTATAACGAGATGTCTCTGAGAAGACACGCTGTAATCACATGACAGGCTTACTTGTACCATAGTTCTGGAGCAACACGACATGAATGCACCTCAAACATAATGTAACATATAATTTTTAAATTGATAAAAAAAGAAATTTCGTTTTTTAAGATTCTACAGAAAATAACTCAATATTAACATTCGTGTTTCTACAAAATGTTAACAAGTTATTATCATTCAAAATTCTTTGACGGAAATATAACTACATGATCATTAACATTGTCAAAAATTGCAATTATTTAATTTGAATAATTATAAGCTTCGTTACAGGAAAAAACTTGTTAAAATAAAAGGATTTTAATACTTATGACAGTCTGAATAATTAATAAGTAATTAAATTTTAAACACCGTAAAATTATCCATTATAATATTAAATTATTAAATTTGAAGAGAAAAATAAATATTTCTGTACTAAAAAGTGGATATTACATATTACATATTAATATCCGTTGATTATATCCGTGTTGATAATATTAAAATATTAACATACATAATGCTCATGTAATGTTTGCAGTACAAATACAATAATAAAATTTTAATGCAAATTTATTCGCATTTATTGAAAATAAAGGTGTTGTGTGCTGTTTGTTTTTTTCTCTTAAAATTATGAATTAAACCCGGCTTCACAGAAGGGAGACGTTAATTAAGGAATATTTATATCGGTCTGAAAGCGCCTCGAGTTCTCACAAATTTGGTTAACTGCATATTTGATTATGCAAACGCCTTCTTCGAATTAATCTTCGGTATTGATGCTTCCCGAACGGGACGAACATAAAATTCAATACCCTCCAATTTTGTGCGGCGCGTAATGTTCGGCGCAAGGTGTGTGTTTGCAATTTCTAATTTGTCCTATACATTATTGGATAAAGAGCGCAATAAATCGGCGACTCTGGTAGGGTCTACTGGATTTAATTACACTGTGGCCAGCGGTGCGCAAAACCTGTTTGAACGCCGTCGAAGAAGTCCGTTTGGATGCGAACGTTGCTTTAAGTTCTCCATACTAAAGTTACTCTGCAACGGTTGTTATAAATAATGTATCAGTACTCCCGCAAGAATTCTGCAGGTGGTGATACACGAAAACGATAGTATCTTTTTATTCTCTGCGATTACAGTCGACATTCCAATTACAGAAACGTCATAATTTTACGAAGATGAAAAATTTTGTCTTTGAAGATAAAAGAAGCTTTCCTTTTTGAGGACAACTTAATTTTGTAGAACTTGTATCATCACTGTTGCTGCAGTTTGCAGATGTTAGAAATGTACACAAAATATTCTAACACTTTATGCCTTTTTGTTATCTATCGATAAATCAATTTTTTTTTGGAACTTCGTAATGATTATATGAAAAATTATGTAGGTCCCATTGAAATAAATTCTCACTCTCTATAATATAGTCTAGTAGCTCGAACGTAATTTATAATATGGTGAACAAAAATGATCCAATAATGGATAGTTTTTGAGCTATAGAGTACCAAAAGTATTGTATAAAACTAATTGTGCTCTTTCAAGAATACCTTTAATTAATGCTATCCATCATAAAACTATCCATTATTGAGCCTTGTATCAATAATATTTTTTACTCATCATTTTATCAATTTTTGATACAATTAGTGTGGCGTCACAAGACATTCGCATCTAATTTTAAGTCCTTTTATATACTTAAAGAATTATTGAAAAATCAACGATCTACATATAAAGAATAATATCAAATACTCTCAAAGAAGCAATTCACATCTATAAGGAATCTACGTCCATTCTTAAATTTTCGCGCTACCTCCTAAATAGTATCATTCGTAAGTTCATTTCTTCAGCAATTACCTCGAAAAACATTAACCTAGAAAGCCAGGAAAAGTGTAACCGGTTTCTGTGACCAAAGTTACATCGTAAAAAACAATATATCCGCAGACTAATTTACGTTTATCACCAGCTATAAGGCCTAATTAACACCATCGCAGTAACATCGTCCATTCGATTCTCGATTTACGTACAAGGATTGGCTTACTTACTCCCGTTGGCATCTCAGCTACGGGATCTGTGCGCGATTCAGCATCGGATAACGACCGGCTGATTAACGATCGCTAAGCTTACCTCAGCGAGGCAAGAGTCAGCGAAAGCAACGACAGTCTCAACCACGATTGAACTCTGACCCACGTAAGACGACGACGATGACGACGACTATGAATCCACGAAACTAGAAGCGGCGTCGGGTTCTGTATTAGCCAAGTGATAGATAGTGTCATCTTGCACGAAGGATATTGCCAGCTTACGGCCGCGCAGAACTTCGATAAGTCTGACTGCTTGCGGTTGTAAGGTACGCACCTTTGCGCATTACGGCGTTTTCTTTCGCATTTTTGCGACGCTCGTCTGTTTCTCTGTCGGTATTTATAATAATTGATTATACGGGTCGCCATATATGTACACGTCTGGCGAATTAATTAACTGCGATTACGTGATGATTTTACTTTTGCCTCGTACGCACGTCCGTGCTCGTAAGTATGTAAAAAGAAACATTATCTTTAATATATATTAGAACCCCCGATGGTATTCCGTTAGGAACTGTCAATTTATTAATTTTTTACCTTATACGTTTCCAATTAGTGAAACATTACTTTTATATTATTTGTATCGTTAGAATTATATTTGTGTTGTATATTCATATATTTTCAATATTCTGCATTGTATCTAATAAAAAAAGTAAATTGAAATAATCAGCGGAATCAAAATAGCATCATCGATAATTTTAGTGTCAATAATACCTGAAATAAATAAACATCTCTCTTTTTCTTTTTATCTCTTTATCTGACAAAATTGTGCCATAGACATATACCTGTCTGCAAAAATAGTCAATATTATCTAATTGATAGATATTAAAATATTGCTTATTTCTATCTCAAAGTTATTAAGTACTTCAAACTTCATTTAAAATGGGGATCGTATAACGTACATTATTTTACGTCTACTGTAATTATAGTCTCTGAAATTATGGAAGGACGTAATACCCGTGTTGAAAACTGTGTAAATGTCATTTATCACGAAGCAGATTGCATCACAGCGTCTCTTCGATAACACGCCGTGATAATCAGCAAATTAGTTTAACAAGTACTTACAGTCCAGCGAGATACTGCTGGGCGCTTCCTGCCGCGATGATGATTACGAAGCTAAACGTGCCGCATTACGCACGTATATAACATTGATTATATTGATGACCGCAGCGCAAAAACACGAATGATTGAAACACCCGTATCGAGAAATTAGAAACGGATCGATCAATTTTTCGTTTTTATAGGTTTGTTGAATTCTTGACTTTTAACGGAGCGCCGACAGGTTGTCTCAAGCTCAGCCAATTTTCACCACGATCAAGCAATTTCAACATCGTAACCGTGAATTACGTTCCGCAGGATCGATTTGATGGTAATCTATGATGAAAGAAGCGGCGACGATTTCCGCGGTAATCTCCGCGCCAAGCGTCGTCGATCCGAGCGAATAGACAAGACGGGCAGAGATTCAGCATCGCGTTTTCAATTCGCGAAAACATCCTTGACGTATATCCCGACTTCCGACGCATTACGGCGTAAAGAAAGAATCCTAACTACGTAACTACATCAAATCATTATCATTCAACGTCTGTTCCAGCGGCGGGCGCCAACCGTAAGGCGCGACTTCCGGCTACCGCCGCATGGCGTATCGCGCGACTGGCCTTGACACCTGTTGCTGAGATTGACACACGAGAAGAATGCAGTGTCATTCGTTTGATTAGTCGTGAAATTAATATTGGAGTATCACTCGACGATGTGAGTTTTGCGAGAGAAGATCTTTACCGACTCGTCCAAGTGAAAACTATCCGCGAGGATATCAAATAAAATCCTTATTTAAATATATGGAACAAATGCTACGTTTAAATTCTGTATTTAAAAAATGATAATACCTCTCTCAAACGTAAGAATTTCAATAATTTTCTTTTATCAAGAGTATTATTGGAATTTAGAATTTTTCTAAACAAATTGCATTTTACATTTCTTCTTCAGAAATTCTGACAGGGATCTATAACCAAGATTTATAAATACAATAAATAAAAATGGCTTTGTATTCTACAATCACAGGATTAATTGTTATACAAAATCGTCATCTTAAAATTCTATAACTTTTTCTAATTCGAGAGATCAACTTTACGTAGCAATATAAATTACTATTAATGTCACTGCTTGCATTTTTAATTTTTAAGTTGATAGTATTTTAAAATTGCATCGGTGT